TGTGTGTGTGTGTGTGTGTGTGTGTGTGTGTGTGTGTATAATGTGTATGATATTTCCTAGGAGACGTGAAAAAATGTCTAGTCACCCCAGACAAGGAACCAACGACAGACTAATGATTCTTCCAAAGTCCAACTTGGCAAGCCATGATGAGTTTGGGGAGGTCACTTATGGGACTGTGGACGAGGGTCACTTAGGGGACTGTGGACGAGGGTCACTTAGGGAACTGTGGACGAGGGTCACTTAGGGGACTGTGGACGAAGGTCACTTAGGGGACTGTGGACGAGGGTCACTTACGGGACTGTGGACGAGGGTCACTTACGGGACTGTAACTGATAGGTCACTTATGGGAACATGGGCAACTCACAGGCAGCTGCATCAGGGAAAAGCCCAGCTCAGCATGGGAGACGACTCATGAAAGCTGCAATCCTGGCACTCTACACGGAGGCAGTCTCACAGTTGGGCCTCCTCCCAATTCCTCCTCTCTCTCCCCTCCTCTCCTAGCTCCTTCCCCTCCCCTCCTCCCCTCTACCGTCCTCCCCTCTACCCTCCTCTCTGCTCCTCCTCTGTTTTGCTGCTTCTGTGACCTTGGGGAGGCCTTGTGAGTCTTGTGGTTTCAGCTCCAGGACTATAAGGCTGTTTACTTCCCGAGTCTCATGAGCCTGTCCTCAGTCCTGGAGGGTGTGTGTCCATTCTGAGGAATCAGTACACAGCAGCGCATGCGTGTGTGTGCATGTGTGTGTGGTGTGTGCATGTGGCATGTGCCTGTGTGCCTGTGTCTGTGTGCCTGTGTGTGTGGTGTATGCATGTGTATGTGTGATGTGTGCATGTGGTATGTATGCATGTGGTGTCTGTGTGCATGTGGTATATGTGTGTGTGGTGTGTACATGTGTGTGTGCATGTGTGGTATATGTGCGTGTCGTGTGTGAGTCTATGTGTGTGATGTGTGGTATGTGTGTGTAGTGTGTGCATATGTGCGGCATGTGCCTGTGTGTGTGGTGTGTGCATGTGTGTGTGAGGTGTGTACGTGGTATGTATGTGTGTGGTGTGTGTGGTGTGTGCTTTTGTGGTATGTGTGCATGTGGTATGTGTGTGCGTGTGTGTGTGTGTGTGTGTGTGATGTCTATGTGTCTGGTATGTGTGCATGGTGGGGGACTGGGGGGCATCCTGCTCTGTCACTCTGTGCCTTATTCCCTGGACTGGGTGTCTCACTAACCTGGTGTGTGCTGTCTTTGTGGTCAGGCTGGCCAGTTAGCAAGCCCCAGTGATCCTCTGTCTCCATGCCTGTGCCCCACCAGCCCTGAGGTTACAGGTGAGCCCTGCCACTCTCCCCACTCTTTATGTGGGTGCTGGGGTCCTAATTCAGTTGCTCTTGCGTACATAGCAAGCGTAGCTGCTTCACACACTGAGCCATCTCCCTAGCTCCTGAAGTTTACTTTAAACTACTTCTTTGCAAGGTGCTGGTTTAGTTTTTCTCAGTTCTCTGCTGATCTTGTGGGCACGGGTGTCAGCTGGGGATGCCAGGTGTAGCCTCTTCTTAAGGACACATTGTCAGAGCCTGTTGTCAGTCCTGTCACTATGGTGAGAGATGGAAACCTGGCCCCTAGGCAAATGGTGTCTGTGTGTTTGAATATGAAGGCTTTGAGATGGGAGTATTGAGATGATTTATTAACCTGTTCATCCTGTCAAGGAGGAGTCCTGGCCACTGCATTGGAGAGATGTATTGCAGGGGGAGTTCAAGCCGCGGGGAGGGGGGGGCAGAGGGAGCGCCAGCCACAGAGGGAGCAAGCTGTAGGGGGAGCGGTGGCTCTTCTGTTCCCAGTGGCCTTCTCCACAGGCATGTGATGGGATTGACTCAGACTTTTAATCATGCAGTTTCACTTGACACATAGAATTTTCTTCTCAAAATATATGGCATTGTGTTAATTAAATTTTCCTAGTCTGGAGGGCCTCTTTACAGGTGTCGCTCAGCTGAATGCTGTCTGGGATTTTGGCTGAGCCTTTTGCACCCTAGGGGTGGGGGTGGGGTGGCAGGGCTCCTGGGCAGAGGTGCTGCAGAGGATCAGAGCTGACGGTGTCTGTGTGCGTCTCTGGGAGGCTTCTGCATCCCCAGTACCTTGGAGCTCTTTGCTCCTGAGCAGTGGGTACATTTTTGTAGCTGCTTAATCTGCCCTTTATAAAGCCGTTGAGCCTTGAGCTTCTTCAGTCCCATGTTTTCCAGGTTCCTTATGTGTCTTTAGGTGATGCTGTTCCCAACAGGAAGGGTAATAAATGATATGGAAACAAGTACACGCAGGTCCTTATCAGTTAGTAGTGATAGGACTGTCTGAGCTTGCATGTCCCTCGGTGTTCTCCATCAAGGCTGATTCCCAGATGAGCAGCCTTCTTAGGGTCTAGCTGGGACCTGCTGAGACAAGACGGGGAGCTCTGGTTTTGATGGTTTCTTTTTTTGAAGGTAATTGTTTTTGTGGTAATGAAGGGAAAGGGATCAGCCATGTGCCATGCCGTTAGTACTTGGTTTTCCTGGGACATGCCCCAGCGGCTGGCCCCAGCGCCTCCAGGTGGACCAACTTGAAGGTGACCTCCAAGCTGGGCGGTGACTGTTGCTTCATAGGAGAATTTAAATGTTTGTTTTTCTGTGGGTCGTGTTGATAAAACCAGTACGCACAGGTGTAAATATAAAGGTGAGACAGTGACAGGCTCGCCAGGCTTGCCGCACAGCAGGACTTTCAAACAGCTCTGGAATCTGGGGAACAGAAGCATAACTCTCTCTCAGTCCAACCACCTGTCAGTTCTAAGTGGTCATTATTTCATCATTTTGCAATAAAAGATAATAGTATAACGATTTATAGTTCGTGGCTGATGTTTTAATGTGTCCCTCTGTTATGCTGGCTGACAGTGTGTGATTACAGGAACCACTTTCTGGGTGACATGTGGTAATGACTCCTTAATAGAGGGATAAGTCAGAATTTAAATCACAGTGCACTGACCAGCCTCAGCCCTGCCCCACCCCTCTCTGCAGGGGGTGGTCTTTGTGCTCAGTAGGGTGCTCCTTACCCAGCCACTAAAGGGGTATCTAGAAACCAGCCCCATGTGGTTCTAGGGGCCATGGACATGAGGCCGCAGGGGTTGGCAAGCCCAGGAGGTCCCTCTACCTCTGTCTTCTGTGTTCTGTGTTCTGTGTCTGTGATTTGATTAGTGTGAATGGAAAACAAGTGCATTGAACCGAGTGCTGAGAGTGTGTGTGTCTGCGCACGCGCGCTTCGGGGAGATGGATTTGCCTCACTGTCTCCTGTCTATCCCCTGCGTGTCCTCCATCCGCTCAGGAATCAGAAACCTCTCACTTGAACCCTGGAATGAGAAAATTGCAAATGGAAGACCTTTGAAGATCAAATTAAGTATTGTCTACTTGGCCCAGGTCCCAAAAACTTTAAATGAAAAGATGTCATGCTAGGCTTAGTGGTTCATGGCTGTCAGCCTGGCACTTGGGAACTAGAGAGTTGGAGGCAGGAAGGTCAGGAGTTCAAGGTCATCATCAACTACATCATGAGTTTGAAGTCATCATGGGCAAAACAAAAATAAAAATAAAAAACAGACCTTAAGGTGGTTTTCACCATAAGAGGCGCTGGGCTGTTGAGCTGGGGTCCTTACTTAGCATCTAGAGGAGGACAGTTACATTGCTGGTGTCTGCTTGGTGATACACTCTGACACCCAAGGGATTCTTTTTTTTTTTTTACCTTTTTCTATGTGTGTGTGTGGTGTGTGTATGCATGTTCGCATGTGTGTGGATGCACACGCATGTGGGTGCATGTACAAGTGTATGTGCACATGTGGCTCGAGATTGAAGTGAGGAATCATCCTTGATGGACCTTCTACCTTGTTCATCGAGGCAGGGTGTCTCAGCCAAACCCAGAGCTCACTGATAAGGCTAGTCTTGCTAGCCAGCCTGCTCTGGGATCCCATCTCTGCCTTCTGAAGTGGAATTACCAGAGGTTACCACGCCCACATTTGTGTGTGTTTCTGGGGATCCCAACTCCAGCCCTCATGCTTGCTTGAGGTGCCTCCCAACCCGCGTGTGTTTTTTTTTCGTGGTGCTGTGGTCTCTTCCTACATAAGGGCACCAGGTGGAGCCTGTGCTGGCCCACACAGGGTCTACTCCACAGAGAGTGCTGGTTGGCTCGCTGCCTTTCCTGAGGGTTGTGAGCCTTGGTGTCAGCTCGGTTCAGCTGTCCCTGCTTTCTGTCTGCAGCTCTTCTACTTCCACACGTCCTTGAACCACCCGAACATCGTGGCTGTGGTGGAAGTTGTCACCGAAGGCAGGAAGCGGGATGGTACCCTGCAGACGCTGTCCTGTGGGTTTGGAATTCTTCGGATCTTCAGCAGTGAGCCAGAATCTCCCACTGCCGCGGCCCAGGACAAACGGTACCCTCATCCGGGTCTCTGATTCTCGTGATGACTTAGCTGGTGACGCTGCAAAGCTGCGTGTGTAATGATGCGCCGCGAAGTCGGCTTTGCCTCTACTTCCTCTTCTCTTTTAGCCAAGGAGCGAAGGAGGATTTTTTTTGTCAAGAGTGAAGACTGGCTTTAGGCACAAATGTCAGGTTTGATGTGGCATGCTGTGTCATGAATTCTGTAGGATTTCAGGCAGCTCACTTGCTCACCCATGCTCCCAAGGCTGCCCCGTGCATGCTGAGTGTGGAGTAGGAGTCAGCTAGCAGTTCACAATTGAGCGCTGCTGTGTGCCAGGCTGCTTAGGAGCCAGACACACACAGCAGATATGCTCCCGTGTGAGCCTTCAGCCAGGGCTCCCCTTTATACTGCTCTAGATGAGGCATCCTCAGCCTCGGCACACCAACGTTCAGGGCTGGTCACTCTGCTGTGGGCCCGTCCTGTGTTCTGCAGGATGCTGGGCAGCAGTCCTGGCCTCCACCTGCCAGACACCAGGAGCATTCCCCGCCCACTGGCTTAACCAGACATCTCCCTAGATACCGCTAAACCTGTGCTTGGGAATGCCAAGCCTTGGTGAGAGGCTCCGCTCCAGCTGCAGGGCCAGGTGCTATCTTTCCTGGAACTTTTCAGGGTTTGGCTGTTCCATTGTCTTCCTCTGTCTGTCTGTCTGTCTGTCTGTCTGTCTGTCTTTCTCTGTATGTGCAAGTGCCCTTAGAGGCCAGAGGAAGGCATCAGATCCCCCACAGCTGGAGTTATAGGCTATTGTGAGTGAGCTGCTTAGTGTGAGTGCTGAGAACGGAACATGGGCGCTGAGCTGTCTGTTCAGCCTGTTTTCTAGCCTTTGGATCCTTGGGCTGCAGGTCTGCAGGACCTGTTTGGCATGATGCAGAGAACCAGCAGGGAACTGTCCTCAGCCACCTGTGTTTCTGCAGAGGACACGACTACCAGCATTTAGAAGACTCCTGGCCCTTGGTGACTGATGTGTTAATGAGATGCGGGTACTTAAACTGGTCTCCTGGTCCTGTTTTTCAGGTTGAGGCTGTATCATGGCACCCCCAGAGCCCTCCTGCACCCACTTCTTCAGGACCCCATAGAACGTAAGAGACGAGCCTGGCCCTGGCAGTGTGTCTTGAGTGCCTGACTTTGCTGAGTGTCCTCTGGCTCCCCCGTCCTGCCGTCTTCCTCGGTGTGAACTCTGTCTTAGCACAGTTTGTAATGGTTCTGGATACCTGTGTCATGGGTTTGACTTCTTCACAGTGTAAGGAATTTCAGTGGACCACTCCAAAGGGAGGGCATTGCTTTGTGGCAGTGGAAACTGCCTGGCTCGATGGTGGCCTTCGAAGTGAAGCAGTTGCTGTCCCTTACTGGCCCCTTGCTGTCCACTGAAACCATTAACCATGGAGTCACTGGTTATCGCCAGTGGGGAGCCTGTCCAGATGAGGAACATTCTTCAGGAAGGCATGTGCCTCCGCATGGGGGTGCAGAGGACGCAAGTTGGGAGGTTGGCTTCAGAGGGTAGGGCCCCTTCTCTTCCTGCCTACATAAAGGATGGGAGGAAGGGATCATGGGGTAGGGATGGGCTGGAAAGGCATCTTAGAGGCCCAGCACAGATGCTGAGCTTGCCCCAGGAGGGTGTGGATGGGGAAGAGGGAGCAGGTGCATCTGCTTGCCTCATGTTCTTGGCAATGTGACTGGACTCCTTAAAGGGAATTGTGTGTGTGCCGTGTGGTCCACGTTAAATGTCAGACAGCCCAGACCCTCACAGCACTGACTGGCAAATCTCAGGATATGGGAGTAATCAGTCAGAAGCTTAATTTTATTTGTAAAGATTGATTTTTAGATTCTTTTAAAATTAAATTATTATTTGCCAAGATTTTTTTCATGAAGAATCCTTAGAATCAGGTGTTTACCTGGCCTCTGTTCTCGGACCTGCTCTGGAGTTCATGAGGAGGCTGTCTGGGTGAGCTCTGGGTAACCTGTCTGTGCCCTTGACATTCCTGGAAGCCTTGAGGCAATGGTGACCCTTCCTGTGGTTCGGAACTGAGGAGGTGCAGACAGGGGGGAAGCCTTCCCCATCCCTGCCTGTGCCACAGTAGCTTTTGTCTCTCCTGTGGATTTTTGGGCCCCTCTAGGCTGCTCAGGTGATGTGGGGGCCACTGCACACCTTATGTGGCCTCTTGCTTTTGCCCCTCCCACTCACTGAGCTGCCTCTTGCCTTTGTTAGCTTGGGAATACTCTGTATTGATCCCCGGGAAGCACCTCATGGTTATGACGGGTGGCATGCCCTTGACCTGCTGTTCCATGATTAGATGGAATCTGCCCATACCCGTGGACACACCTCTTACGTGGACAGTTAGGAAGCTCTGTAAAAGCCAGCATCCAACGTGGCTGCAGTGGACAGCTGCGCTGTGTGTGGGCCCCCTGAACCTGGGGCTGCTTATGTGGAAGGCAAGCCCATGGGGTCGAGCATTTGTCTTTTGCTGTATCTTTCCTGCTTTCCACCTACAGAGCTGATGGTGGAGCTCTCCCCACCAGCCTTGCAGGTAAAATGCCTTTTGGCCGCATTTTAGATGTTAAAGTGAGCAGAGTTCATGATTGGAGTTAAGTATCAAAAATAGTTTCATGAGTGCTATTTTCTGTTGGACACCATGGGTTGTCTACAACTTTTTTCATGAAATCAGTCAAGGCACAAGATGAATAGTCTATAGACATAGTCAGGATCTTACCCAGAACTGGCCCGAGTTCTCCTACATGGATGTGGGGGTGGTGGGGTCCCTGTCAGTGGAGGATATCAGTCCTGGCTAAGACTGATCATTTAGCATACACGTGGAGGGCTCACGTTGGCTCCCCTTCCCTAGGGCCTATGTTTGGGGTCTGCCACATTTGCATCCCCCTCTCTCTTTTGTGACAAGTTCTCCCACTATCCCCGGGCCTGGAAATCTCTTTATAGCCCAGGTTGGCTTTGAACTCACAGAGATCCACCTGCCTCTGCCTCCTGACCTGAGTGCTGATGTCACTGTCCTTGCGTCTCATTCTTGCTGTTCCCTCAGCTGTTCCCACCCTCCTGCAGGCTGGCCCACCTGCCCTGCCTGGGGGGCTTTAGTTCTTCCTCCCACTTCCCCAAGGCCTTATCTGGACCGTTCTTGTTATTGGGGTCTTGTGTGTGTGTGTGTGTCTGTGTGTTTTGCCATCGGCCCAGGAAGGGGCCCTGCTGGAGAATGACGAACCTGGCTCTGGCTCTGGCTCTGACCTGTTGCCCCTAGTACCCTCCTGCTTCTTTGAAGGGCTGTGACTCAGGAAGTCAGCTTGGGCAGTGTCTTCCCGCCTCCCTCTGAGGGTAGGGGCCACCCGTGCCAGGGAAACTGTACAGTTTGTTCTGTGGTTGCAGAAATTCAGTTTGTTGCATTAAAACTTGCCATTGCAGGACAGGCACAGTGCATTCACCTGTTCTAGCCTCTAGGGAGGATGAGGCAGGAAGACGCCTCAGAGTTCAGTGCCAACATGGGCAACAGACGGTGAAAGTCCCAAACACAAACACAGTGAGGCAGCGGCTCAGTCAGTAAAGAGCTTGTTCGGCCTGTGTGAGGACCTGAGTTCCATTCTTAGAACCCACGTAGAAAGCTGGCGCAGTGGTGTGCTTGTAATCCCAGCAAGGGTGGGTGGAGCAGGAGTCGAGGATCTGGGGAAGCTGGTGGGCCGGCTTGACCAGCTTGGTGCAGTTCTAGACCAGGGAGGGGGCCTCTGTCAAACAAAGTAGAAGGAACCCGAAGAACAGCACTGGAGGCCCTCCTCTGACTTCCATATACATGTACCTACACACGTGCATGGGCGCACATACACAGATGCGCACAGACGTACACAGACACACATGCACACAGAGACACATATAGAGACATACATGCACGTATATAGACACACAAGCACACATACGCATACAGAGATACACATACACCTGAGACACACAGAGACACAGACATATACATATACACAGACATACATATACAGACACACACACACACGTATACATACAGAGGCACACATACATACATACAGAAACACATACACATACACACAGAGGCGCACAACAGAGACACACACACACGCACCAAACAAAAACTCAAAGATACAAGATCTTGTCATTTGGGTTTTATTGATTGTTTTCGCTTTTATTTTTTGAGATGAGGTCTTGCTGTGCAGCCCAGTGGGAACTTGATGTCCCACTATACGCCCCAGGCTGCGCATGCTGGTACGTCTGACTACACCTCAATCTCAGGTCACCGGGTGGGTCCCTACTCTCCTCAGGAACTAAGCTTTCTGTTCTGTTTTGGCTGATTTGACTGGCAGTGCCCTTGATTTTAGCCCACATGTGATGTTCTCCTCCCAGAAAACAAGCACATGACACTGATGGAGAACTGCAGCCTGCAGTATACCCTGAAGCCACACCCACCCCTGGAGGCTGCCTTCCACCTGCTCCCCGAGAACCTTCTGGTGTCTGGTCTTCAGCAGATCCCTGGCCTCCTAACACCTCATGGGGAACCAGGTAAGGTGTCCTTAGGTCTCGCCACTGTGTGTCTGGGTTAGTTCAAGGTCAGACCTCAGAGGACTTGGGCTTGTCCTGGTGGATAAAGGTGATTTGGCTGGCCGCATGTCCCCTAGAAGGTCAGCAGCAGGGGCTGCTGTGTGTTCCTTAGTAGGTGAGCAGCGGAACCTGCCACGTGTCCCCTAGTAGGTCAGCAGCGGGGCCTTCCGTGGGTCCCCTAGTAGGTTAGCAGTGGGACTTGTTGTGTGGCCCCTTGTAGGTCAGCAGCAGCTGGGGTGGTGGGGAGAAGAGGTAGCAGTGACACCTCCGCTCAGTCCCTTCCTGGAGAGCATCATGGCTTCACGTGTGTTGCTGTCTTTGCTCAGGAAGAACTGTCACACCTCACCCTTCTGTCTCTGTGGCCCTGCCGGGAGAGCCACCATCACAGACCTTACCCTTACTGGGCTGTGGGATCAGTGACGTCATCATTATGTGGTTGTGCTGAAGTAGACATGATAGGAAATTGAAGTGGCCTGTTGAGGGGTGTTGAGCACCATCACGTTGCTGCGCAGGTGTCTCCGCCGTCCGTCTTCACGAGTTTCTCATGTTCTCAATCTGAAACTTGAGGTCTCTGTGTCTACTAACCACCAATTCCATTCTGCTCTGTGTGTCCCTGGCACCACCCCCTTCAGTGGCCTCTACACATGGGTCCACTCTGGGTCGCTCAAAGACATGACGTCCTACTGCATTTGTCCTTTGTCGCTGGCCTCTCATCATGTCCGTGTTCATCCGTGTTGTGCTATGTCAGTTTCCTTTTTTAAGGCTGAGTAGTAGCCTGCCTTGGGTCGGCCATGTTTTCTGTATTGTTTACCTGTCGCTGACACTGGGTGGCTTCGGCTGCTCTGGTTACTGTAGCTGTGAATCCTGCTGAGCTGAGACTTGATTATTTTGAAAAACTGAAATTTGTGTGAAAGGCTGGTAGTAGCTCTTGGTGTGACGTTGAGAAGTTGACTGTCCAGGGGTGGACAGGTCAGCCCTGCACAACCACAGACCATGGTTGGGTGTGTGCTGTGCCTGGGGTCAGCTGGATGGTCCTCCTACCTGAGTACTGTTGGATCTGGAGTGCTAATGTCTTGTGTGCCTAAGGCCTGGCCGCAACCTTGCACTGTGTGGGGGTCGTGGAGCCTTGCTGAGGAGAGTTAGCTCATCGGGACACAGCTTGGAAGGGCTGCTGGGACCCCAGCCTCCTTTCTCTTTGCTTCCCAGGCCTGTGAGGTATAGACCTCCTCTACCACATGATCTTGCCGTGATATGCTGGGCTGCACATGCCCAGAAACAACACAGCCTCTGAAAGGACGAGTCATAAAACTCCTTCCTCTAAGCCGATATTCTCAGGCAGCTGTCCCAGTGACAGAGAACTGACCAGCACATGGGCCTGTGCCCTTCTGGAGGCCTCCTGAGGGATCCTGGAGAGGGGACCGCACCAAGCTCTCTCTACAAGTCTGTCTTGGATTTCTAGGTTCTGCCAGAGCCTGCTGTCCTGGCCAGGCCGACTCTGTGGGAAGAGGTGGCTTTGGCATTGTATGTGGGTGATGAGGTTGTGCTGAGGCCTCATGGACATGTTCAAGCCCCAGGACAGATGTGCTGGTTGGTGACACTGTCCCTGTGTGTGTCAGGCCAGATCCATGTTGGGTCAGTCAGCCGCGCCCGATTTCCGAGCTTGGGAGTCCACGGCCTGAGGTGCATCTCTCCGGGGGTGGCTTGCCCACAGGTGTCAGTGGACTGCAGATGACAGGACCCCACAGGCCCCAGGGACTGGCTCCTGCTGATGACTGTGCACCGTGGACCTGCTTCTACCATGACGGAGTGCTCAAGGAGGTGCTGGCCCTCACTTCCAGACTGGCTTCTTCTCTGCACCTTGTGTGAAACTGTGGAGCGAAGGAGCTAGGGCACAAAGCAGACTTCTGGGTTAAAGAAGCTGAAGGAGCAGAGGGCGCAAGCCTCAGGCTCTTCACCCTGCACTTGCTGTTCTCCTGGGGTACAGAAGCCAGTCAGGCACACCGTCATGTGAGGGCGCCTGGGAAATGGTAGAAACAGCCAATGGCTTTTGCTGCCGTTGCCTAAAGTCTGATGAGTGGAGCCAGCGCAGCTCTGACCGCACTGCTTTGACTGACAGGAGAGAGCTCTGACTGTACCATACTTCAGGAGGAGGGACAGAAGGAGCACTCAGCAATGCCTCTGGTGACCGTTTGCTCAGCCTGTGTCTTGCATGTGGGATGATGGGCTGCATCTGTGCCTCACAGACCCTCAACAGTAGGCTGTGAGCTTCTTCCCGGATCCTCTGGGCTTTTGTGACCATCCCTTTGGAAGGAGGTCTGGACCTGATGAAGGTTTGCAGCTGGAAAGGCCAGGCAGAGGGGAGTCGTACGTGGAGGTGCTGTTCGTCTGGTTTTGTTTTGAGGCTATGTCGGGAGTGTGTGGAGTGGCGTCAGGACCATTACAGCCGGGGCAGCTCCACTCCCCAGGCTGACTTGAACTTGTCAAGTGAGGCTGCTTTCTGGTCAAAGCAAGTGCAGCCTGCTTTCTAGAACTGGGACCCAGGCTGAGGGCCAAGGCTGGGATTGGTGGAGTTTCTGGGGGAGAACTGGTCCTGCTTCATCCCTGTCTGCACCTGCAATGTTGCCCAGTCCCACCATCTTGCTCTGAGACTCAGTCCCGCCTCTGCCTTCCATTTCCCTGCCCGTTTCCCTTCTTCCTGGTGGTCTTAGGAAGGTGGTATGCTGGGTGGAGACAGACCAGAAAGGCTTTGTGGGAGAGAGGGCTGTTTCTAAGTTGCAGCTCACACCCTGTCCCGTGGATGCCGTGCACATGCCCTTCTTGTCATGTGACCACTTCTCAGCCTGGAAGGACCTGGCTCATGCTGTGCCCTGCCACAGACCTTCTGCCCCTCCTCCCTCGTGTTGGCTTTAACATCCCACCTGTTACCTGCCCTATCTTCCTTCCCTCGCCTGCTGCCAGCATCTCCATGTGCTTGTTGAGTTTTACCGAGTGACCAGTCACTGACATGCTCAGCTCCCTCGGGGCTCGCTCCCTGCATAACCCTTCTGTACTAGCTGGGCACTGGCTCCTGGTCCTGCTCCCAGCCTCTTTCTAAACTTGAACTTGTAAGAGTGGTCTTGAGAATTGACTGCCTGTCACACCGTGGGCTTCCTACACAAGGATCATCATGTTTTACCTGCTAGATCAGAATTTTGTGGCTGGGCACTGGATTCTGCATTTTCTTTCTTTTTAAAAATATTTTATTTATTATTTTTATGTGTAGGAGTGTATTGCCTGCATGTATGTGAGTGCACCCGAGTGCCACGGAGGTCAGAAGAGGGCTTCGGATTCCCCTGGAACTGGAGTCAAGGACGGTTTGTAGCCGCCATGTGTGTGCTGGGAATCGAACCCGGGTCCTCTGCAAGAGCAGGTAGTGCTCTTAACCACTGAGTCACTTCTCTAGCCCCTGGATTCTGCGTTTTAACACAGCAACACGGTCTTGTGGGTGAGGCCTGTGTCCCTGAAGCTGTTTTATCCCTGCGGCTTTGTTCCCTCAGCTCTCCCCGTGCTGTGTAGACACTGTCGCTCTCCCCGTGCCCATCTGAGGACCTGTCATCCACCTTTCTTCAACGGCTCCACAGCAGTGTGGGGTGGCCGCAGTGAGCAAGGCTCCACACCAACAGTGTCGCCCCAGCTGTGCTGGTTCAGTTGGAGTTGGTCTTCCACGCGTCCCTCCTACAATGTAAAGATTTTTAATTAAATAATCCTTATTCAGTAATTTCAGGAAAGTCTAAAAGTTCTCCCTCCACACTCACCCTGCAGAGGAAGCCCGAGAAAGCCATTTCTCGGAGCTTAATGTATGCCTTTTGCATGTTCCTTTGTGCACTGATTTATTCAGGAAATAGCCATTGAACAGGTGCTGTGTGAGGGAGGCCCTGTGCCGGCTTCTGAAAACATGGCATCAAGCTCTTAGGAGAACTTAGTAGATCTTTCTGGAATGAATTTAAGGGTGGCTCACAAGACCAAGCAGTCCAAGTACCCTAGGAGGTGTTTTAGAAAGACTGCGGCCCGCACACCTGTTCTTTTTCCCGGAGTTCCATCCTGCTGGTCTTGTTCTGGGCTCTGTGTCCTGAGCCAGGTAAGTTACTGTCAGGAGGCTGTGGCGGTGGCAGCTCTTGGGTGTCATAGGGTGTTTCCAAGGGCTTCCCAAAAAATACCCAGGGAAGGGGGTTCATTTTGTTGAGGGTTTGCCAACATACCCTTTCTCTGCCATGCACTTGGGGCATCTCAGAATACAGTGAGTCCTGTAGGGTGGGAGTGTTTCCCGGAGGAGCAGTGCTGGTCATGGGAACAGCGTTCATAGCCAGAGATTTGGTGATAGATGGAATAAAGCGGAGAACTCATAACGCGAGGGCCGAGAGCTGCTGGAGGAGAGCCCAGCTGGGCTGGGACTCATGTCCCTCCGTCACTGCTGTTGGTGTTGGTGGTCGATAGAGTGACTGAGGCCCGGATGATGCTTTTGGATAGTAAAACCACATTGTGAGCCATGCAGAGGCTGGCAGGCCCACAGTGAGCACTGCCCCACTCCTACCTGAGGTGAGTGTGTGAGATTCACCACCACTCCAAGTCTTGGCTGTTTTCCGTTTCTAAAATCAGGACAGTAACAGGGCCAGCTCTGGAAGAAGTGGATGGATCGAGGCGAGGAGTGTCAGGAAGGCTCTGTCTTGAATTCTGCTGCAGTCCACTTCTTCCGTATCATGCTCTGAGACTCCGATCTTTCTCCAATGTAGGCTTTTCCAGTGCATGGACACTCGGCTCCCACCCAGCTGCCCCTTCCTCCAGCCTTGGCCTCTTGAAGGCCTCCAGGATGTGCTCTAGAAGGCTCTACCTATGCCTCTGTGCCTTCTGTGCATGGTATTGGATATTGTGTTTCTCAGTCTGTGTCCTTACTGTTTGTGGAGTTATCAATTACCTTCACCAAAGTAGGCTTTTGCCCCCCAAGTCATGGCTTGTAGTCTTTCCCCGTGCTCCTGGGTCTGTGCGGAGCAGCGGAAGGAATCCGCGTCTCTGTACCCTGTGTTCCAGCCCAGGCAGAACAGGCGACATGTTCCTTTCTCTCAGGACTCAGTCAAGACTGCCAGTGGTTAGGGACGGCACTCGGGAGTGGAGTGACCTCCCAAGAGTCACAGGCATGTCTGAGCCTGTGGTCTCTTGATGGGCCATCTTGATGACATAGGGTTATGATCTGCATCAGGTGAACATGTGCAGGTGTACCTTCTCTAGGGGGCAGAGGTCGGGTGTGTGCTGGTCTGACACTCACAGCTGTTCCCTGGAAGGACTTGTCTAGGAGAACCATCTGTGGGAACACTGCTGTGTGGGTGGCTGCCATTTGCTCTCTGGTGAAGACCGTTGAGGTCTAGAGTCAAAGAGTTGGCCCAGGGCTTTGCATAGATTTGGAGTCCACACCAGGCTTGGCCCCCAAGCCCTCCCTCATTTCAGTAGCACTCCTGAAAAGTTCCTCAGCAGCCCCTAAGCAGGAAGAGTTTTTGGCAGACCTCGCCTCCTTCCTATGGACTGGCCCTGAATCAAGTGACCAGCCCTTGGGCAGTCTGGCTGAGGCTGTTTTCTGTACGCCACACTGTAGGACATCATGAGAGGCCCCTGTTGGCAGTTAAGACTGAATTTTCTCTGCTCAGCTCCCCACTAGGCTCTGTGTTCCAAGCTCTGGTGGCTGGGGCCTTCAGTTCCTGCAGCTGGCCTGTCTCCAGCCCTTTGTCCCCCTGTGCTGCTGGACACGGGCATGGCCTCACGGGTGTGTGAGCCCCTGTTTCGTGTTCCAGTTCTGTCTCTTGTAGGTGCTGGAGCTTGGTTTCTTTTCTGGGTGCTGGAGCTTGGTTTTTCTTCTAGCTGTGGCTCCAGGGCAGTGGGCTGCTCTCGACCTGAGTTTCCTTTGTTTGGGCTGAAGCCCATGCAGAGCTGGGTACCTGGTTGGCTCTCACCACCCACCTGCTTCAGTTTGGACATTTGATTGCTCTGTAGAAGAGTACTACCCACCAGCTGCCAGGAGCAGCGTGCCAAGCCTTGTGAGGGCAAGGATGGCCAGCTCCTCCTTCCTGTCCTGTATATGCAGGTATGGAGTCAGGGTCAACACTGTGAGAAGATGGGTAAGCTGCCACTGCCCTTAGCTATGTGGTTGATGAGGGTGGGGTCATACCTCTTCTGCCCAGTGACAGGGATGGTAAGTGATAGGCACTGGGCGTGGCCAGTCAGTTCTGAGATGTTGTGCAGACAGCAGCTTCGGACCGCTCAGTGCCCCCAGGGCCTTTAGGAGATGAGGGTGCGGTGGGGGTGTCCTGAGTTTCTGGCACCCAGGCCCCTGGTGGAGGCCACTGTGAATGGTCACAGTGTCAGCAGACCTGCCAGTTGGGGCTCAGACTGGGAGGAGGAGTTACTACCTTTCACCAGATACAAGACTCCGAGACTGCTGCCTCTTTCTACCACTGAGGTCCACGTGGGTTCTCATGTCTGCTCGTAGAGGCCTACACCCTGTTTCTGGTCTGTTCTTGTGGCCAGTGTCTGAGTGGTAGGATTGCTGGTAGCGTGTGGTAGGTCAGAGTCGTGAGGAGGGTGCTGTCCTGCCAGAAGTGTAAGGTCAGTGTGGAGCCTGCTTCCCTGTCTGCTCCCGGCGACATAAATTAATCTGCAGAGCAGTAGTCTGCTTAGGGGAGAATGGGGTGTCTGAGGAGACAGAGCGGTCCCCCCTTTCCTCTTTTCCTATCTTGTCTTGCCTCTTCCCCCCATCCTCCTATGTTGTACTCAGCCCTGTTTTGCCATAATGCTCTTGGCTTGCTTAGTGCAGCCTGAGTTCTGGGCATGTCTCAGGGACCTCCATGTCCACCGCAGGGGCCCCGTGGCCTCTCTGCCCCGTCTCCCTAGAAGCTCTGTAGGGCAGCGGGGTCCTGGGACTGTGGGTGCCTCCTTGCTGCTCACGTCACCCCAGCTGTTGAGGGCAGTGTTTTTTGTGCCTGTTCTCTGGCCTTGGTGCAGGGAGGTCCCCAGGTCAGGGTGGCTTCAGGTGCCCACCTGGCTGTTGCATAGTGGTGGACAGTATAAAAAAAAAACCAGTTGACTGGCATGCAGCTCAGTGGTAGGGTATTGGCCTAGGTGAGTTGTTGGGTTTGATCACCAGCAAACACACATGCACACAGTTGTACAGATACTTGCGCACACACACTTTACATACATGCACAGTCATACACATGTGCATTTGTACACACATGTGCATGTCTACCCATGTGTGTATACACACACACACACACACACACAAGAATGTATCTTTGTCACCAGTTTTTATTAGACAGTTTAGTGACATCAGGCCCACTCACACTGCTGTGTGGCACCACGCCAGCCGTCTCCAGAGTCCTTGGCGCAGACGAGGGCAGACACAAGCTCGTCCACACTGCTGACCTCCAGCAGGCAGCCTCAGTGCTCTTCCGATGGCTTCCTCCGTGTTAGCTCAGTTGTTCATTCTCTCCCTGTCCCTCCTTTCTGTCAGGAGGTGGACCAGGCACCTTTGAGAGTCCTTCCCTGCCTCAGCCTCCCAAGTGCCAGGATTGCAAAGTGCCTCTGTGATCTGCCAGCTGGTCTCTTTTTTAACCATGAAATTGATTTCTAAGACTCTAAGACTTCATAAATACCTAATCACCAAAGCATAGGAAGAGACGGGGATGGGCAGAGGGGGAAAACAGTAGCAGTAAAGGGTTCCGCAGGGTCCTGGGAGTGGTTGGCTTTTCCTTCATCCTCCTGAGACTCTGCAGAAGGTCGCCCCAGCTGCCTTGGGCCCTGCCCTCAGCTCGGCGTGGACACTCAGCCCCACAGGGCCTTCCCTGTCCTCTGGTGGCCCCCAGGACGTGCCTCTGGATGAGGGCAGAGGGTGGTGTCGGCCAGTGTACTTCTCCCCCGTTGCTGTGACATGCACCTAGGTACTCCTGCATGCGTCCAGGTGGCCCAGGGCAAGCATGGCAGGGGAGAAGCAGCAGTTGCAGTGGGCGGTGGCCCTGCTGAAGACAGAGGTGAAAAACCAAGCTGGAGTGAGGCAGAGGGCTGCTTCCCTCTACTCTGTGCTCCTCAGCCGCCAACTTGGAAACTGTTCCTGGGGAAGTTTGACTAAAATTTGGATGGCAGGTCCTGAGTCAATGTAGTGGCTCAGCCAGCTTTGTCCTGCAGGGGGTCTGGTACATGGTGTGAGGTCTGAACAGCGCCTGAGCTGCCTTCCCACCAGCAGGTCCCGTCACTGTGCCTCAGGTGGGAGTATGGTGCTGGGCGTCTGCTTGCTCACCCAGGGTGGCGTGAACCTCTCCCTGTTCCAGGCGATGCCTTGTGGAAGCCACGCTTTCAGAAGCCTACCACGTGGCACCTGAATGACCTCTTCTTTACCCTGTACCCCTCCCTGGAGAAGTTTGAGGAGGAACTTCTGGATCTGCTTGTCAGCGACCACTTCCGGGAGGTATGTCCGATTTCTCACCTGTAGCAACTTAGTCTGAAGAGGAGCTAGGGCTGGGGTCAGGACTGGTGTAGCTGCCAGCATCTGGGCATGGGTAGAACATCCTGGTGATGCCCCCCCATTTGTTATGGAAGAGGGCACTCTCTTTCTCTAGATTGTCAAAAAGCAGAGGCCTTAGAGGGCCCATTTCCCCCAGGTCAAGTCCTGAGTAGTGAGGAGTGAGGCTAGTGCTCCAGCCCGAGACACCAATGTTAGCTTTGATAGATCGTGAAATAGTCTTCATTTATGATTAAATTACATCACCAGGTAAGGGAAACACATGAAGTGCTTTGCATCTACCGAGACTTTGAGACCAGGTGGCTCATCTCAGGAGGTGACTGGAGGTGGCCCTTCATGTGGTTTCTGTCAGTGGTGCACCCTCATGTGACACTGTGAGCTCTGCAGCTGTGGACCCAGCCCTAGAAACTTCTCCCTGAGAGCCTGGGTGGGAACATACTGCTATTGATTCTGAAAACATGGGTTTCTTCGTGTGCCTGGACAGGGCATTTGAGGGTTGTTTGTCCATGGGGCAGAGGCACTGAAGTGTCCACAGTGAGCATGGCACACGGTTCTCTGGTCCCATGTTATTATGTACAGGACCGAGGCTCACCTGCACATGGGATGCACTGGGGTTTGTGCTCCAGCCCTGTCTTATTGCTGACCATTCAGGCTGTGAGACCCACCGCCTAGGAGATGAGCTCTGGGTTCCTGCCGCTCCAGCATCTGGTCTTCCAGGGTGTTCTTCGCAGCCTGTTTGTGCTCCAGGAGAGCCTTGAATACCTTTGCATGCTGGGGTCTCTTGCTTCCCCTCTGCCCGAGGCATCACCCTGACTGAAGGTCCCAGGTGTGCTCAGAGCAGGGCCTGCCCAGCCCAGCAGTGTGAGACCACCCTGCCAGGGCCTGCCAGACTCCTCCGGCTCTCCAGCAGCCACAGGGAAGACCTCTCCTGCAGGTGGAACCGTTGGCTCCATCCGTTCTCTCCGCGTAAAGAATGGCCTCCAGAGCTTGACTGTGAGCGAACCTCTTCTTGTCGGCCTCCGAGGACCAGAGACCTTCATGTTTGGCTTCTGACACGTGCGGAGAGTGAGCTGCACAAAGGGCTCTTCCTGTGGTCCAGACCTAGCGCTTACAGTAACCCTGTCTTCGCTCTCTGTTTCCTTCCATTCCACCACTTCAGACGGACCTCCGCAGTGTCGGCTTCCCTGCCTTCGCCTTCACCTCTCTGAAACCACTGTTTCTTCGTGTTGGTCTCTTGCCCGTGGCTATGCGGTGGTGTTTCTCTGCAGTCGGTGGGGTTCCCTTGCCAACTCTTTCTCTGGGTCGCTTCCCTCCGTGTGCGTGCACTGCGATGTATCTGTCCGTCCTGCTGGATTTCTGGCCGTTAGGACCCTGCTGGGAACATTATGTGTATCCTGGTGCTGATGTAGTGGGATCTTTAGGAGGTAAGGGGCCCTCACTGGTCTGCAGGACCCAGGCAGGTCCCCTGGGGCTGGTGGTGCTTTTCTGAGGCCGCAGCCTTTACCCTGCACTGTGAAGGCCCTGCTGTGGTGGTTGTGGACTCAGTCAGTGGCTTGCTTTGGGCAGTGAGACCACAGCAAGCTTAACACAGAGGCCTAAACACTCCTGACTCCTCCCTTAGTCTTGTGCCTCTGTGAGGACAGGTGTAGATGGCTCTGAGCACAAGACCCATGGAGCCCAGCTGCTATGGCCACCCAGGTTATCTAGTGCAGATGTGGTGGGGTTAGAATCTGGCCTGAGTATAGGTTCAGGGTGGAGGCAGTGTCAGGTAGAGCCTACCCCCCTGCTCCCAAGCTCTAGAGGCTGGGCCTGGTCTTGGCGTCAGGTCTGGAAGGCTATGGTGTACATTGAGCACCTTGCTTGGTTAGGGCTGTGGGTGTTTTTGCTTTTCTTGTTGTTATTAAAGGTCCTTTGATGGAGTGTCAGTCAGCAGTGTGTTCTTGGGGTGCCGAGGAACATCTTTTTTCACTCTGACGGCTTTTCTCACCTCACACTGAGCTGTTCTTTGGGCTGCTGTGCAGGCTCCTTCTGGGCCTCCCCTGGGCTTCTGGACACTTGGCTCATGCCCTGGGCGGTCTTCCTGCACGTCTGTCCATGACCTTTCCCTAGCTTCTATCCTGTGCACCTGGGATGGGTGCGTGGCCCCCACCAGGCTTGTCCAGACATCACGGCTTCCTTTCGCCTCATGCACAGCTCTTTCTGGGGGTGTCTGTTGAGGGTTGTCCTTGGTCCCCTCTAGGGGGCATTTTGCACCATGAAGACTGGGCCGTTCATTCACCATGATGTGATGTGTGGCATGCGGTAGGTTGTAGTATTTGGTTGTTGGGAGAAAGAGCAAGTGACTCCATCGGCTCCCATTCTGTTAATTATTGATCTATAATGACTAGATTAATGGTCTGTATGAATGAGGCGGGGTCTGGCTCTGTTCCACCATTTGAGATACGAGCGCAGAGTGGGAAGATGGAAGCGCTTCCTGTTTCCTTGGTGTGGCTCTTGCTGCCGTCCTACTTTTAGGGCAATTGATGGAGCAAGGGCAATAGTGATGTAAGAGCGTCACTGTTGGGCTTGAAACTCCCATAAAATACCCTTCTTAGGCATTTCACTGTCCTGGTATTTTCATTCCTGGGCAGTTCGCAGATGCTTATTTATCCCCATGGTTTTATTTTCATTATCCAAAGACTAATAGGCTGAACGTAGGCCCATTCACCCGATTACTGCACAGTGAAGGACACTGGAAAACAAGACCAACCAGCAAAGATGGGTAATTTTGTGAACATCAGTAGCCACGAGGGATGCCCCCATCCGTTTGCCAGGTGCCTGTGCATGTTTTACTGAGATGGAGCTCTGTAGTACCCAGAGGCCACTTTGGGGGACTCCATTTTTCTAGGCTCATGACTTGCTGTCTGAGCCTGCACCATCTTCCTGGCACTGCTCCTCCCAGCGGACAGAGCTGAAACTTGGCGCGTTCTGCCTGCCCCTGGGCACCACTCCATCACTGTGTCCCTCGTCTCAGGGCCACGCCTCCCAGACGCACATGAGGGACCTGGGTACAAGGTCGCCGCATCTTGAGAATCATCAGCTGAGCACTCCGTGTCTCAGTGTGTGCTGTGTGGGGAAGGTCAACTCTGTGTGGGAAACACCCAACTTGTCTGGGCCCCGCATTGGTCCCTTGTTTGGGTTCATTTATAAGCAGCACCTGCTTCCCCAGGGGTGCTTGTAGACTCTGTTTTGGCGTCTACCTTGGCCTGCCCAGTCTCTTCTGACCACCATCTGCCGGCTGTATCAGACTCATTCTCTTTACCCCTCGCCTCTTGCAGGGAGGTAGCCCACTGGACAGCGGCACCCTGGAGGTCCTGGAACGGCGCCTACATGTCTGTGTCCACAACGGCCTGGGCTTTGTACAGAGGCCACAGGTGGTTGTGCTTGTACCTGAGATGGAAGTAGCCTTGACACGCTCGGCCAGCTTCAGCAGGAGAGTCAGCTCATCCCCTAAGAGCAGGTACACCCCCCGTTCCCCTCATTGCCAAGGCCCAGCCTCCCAGGTGTTAAGAGGTGGTGGGACTACAGGGGTCTACAGTGGGGTGAAGCTGTGAGTGCACGGCGGGGGGTCTGTCCTGTGGGTCCCTCCCTGTTGTCCCTCTTCCCTCTTGTTCATTCACGCCCGTCACACATAAACTTTAGAGCTGTATTTCTGGAAAAAGCTTTTATTTCCTGTGACAACTCTGGAGCCCCTTTCACCTACTGGATGGACCCTGGGATTTGTCCCAAAAGCCTCAAAGTCCTGTACTCTGTTGAAGTCTGGGTGCCCTCGTTCCCACCCAGACTTGCTGTGGGGTATCACACCTATCTCTGTCATGATGTGCAGGTGGCCAGCTGTCCTCTCTGCAGGAGCTCAGCCCTGGGAGAGGGCTCCCTTTCCTTTGTGGCCCCTCTCAGTGTCTCTATCCGACCCCCTGCAGGCTTCCTCTGACAGTTTGGGGAAGGTGTTGACTATGGCTTTCAACAGAGAGCACTATGGGCTGAGCAGCACTGGATGGGGTCTGATATGTCCTGGGGTCCCTGGGGCCTTTGCTGCCGTTCACTGCTGGGGAGGTGGACACAGGGAGCCTGCACGCCACACCTTCCTGGTTTGTGTTTCTAACCAGCTCTGGGAACCAGGCTCTAGTTCTGAGAAGCCACCTGCAACTCCCGGAGATGGTCAGGCACCCGGCGTTCGCCATCGTCTTCCAGCTGGAGTACGTGTTCAGCAGCCCCTCAGGAGCGGACGGCAGTGTGAGAATCTCCCTTCTGTGTCACTTTGCGCTTGCTGTTGGGGTCTGTGTCTGAGGAGAGCCGTGGCTGGCGTCAGCAGGCTCCTCTGCATTAAAAGCCGTGGGTTATTAGCAGTGTGGGTAACAAGGATGGAACTTGATTGTAGGGAACAAGCCCTGTCCTGATCTGATCTAATCATCTTTGTGGGAGTCGGACAGTCCGCTGGTAGTACATGCCTTAGTAAGTTTCATGTATCGTGACTGCATTAGTTCATAGTTATCGAGCCGATGGTTATTCTGACAAATGAGCCGTCGTCCTGTACTTTTCCTGTGCTGTTGAGTGCAGTAAGGCTTGAATCTGCAGGAGGGATGAACGGCTCTTTATAGTGAGCATTATGTGTATCTGCATCCTAATTAAGAGAAAGAATTTAGAGATTTGGTTGAGGGAAGTATGGTGGCCAAATACTGTGTACATGTTGCTGCAGTTTCGTCCCTGGTAAACCCAAATCATGCTGTTCTTAAGATTCAGGGTTCAGTTTCAAAAAGCCAGTATCATTTTAACACGTAATGTAAAGGAAGGCTGTCAAGTCGTGGGTACTGATGGGCCTGCCTCCTTGCCGAGCAGTTTTCTGGGAGGTAAACCTGGGAAGGGGGAGGGTCAGAGCCCACTCCCCCACCGTGCTCTGGTTCTCCTCTGATGCCAAGTCCCGACCCCCACGTCCCTCTCGCACATCTGTGATTGAGACTCCGGAGGTACCCGGCCTGCTGGAGTCAACTCCAGGTCTCGTTGTGGTGACCAATCCTTTCGTGTTTGCCTTATTTGTTAGCAGACATTTCAGCTGAAATGTAACCATGCAGATACACTCGGGAAGTGGGACTGGGGCATCTTGGGTGGGCTGCGGGACCCTTCGCCCAGGGTTGGAGCTTCTAGGGTATGGATTCTGTTTTGTTCTCATCAAACATACTTTCTTTAGTACAGTTTGGAAGGGACACATACCTGTGTGTGAAACAATTTCCCACCCAAAGTACTTGGCATGCACAGCACTGAAGGTGGGCTAAGCATTTACTAGGTGGAACCTGCGTCCAGCATCCCCAGCACAAACAGATGTTGGTGTCAGAGATGAAAATGTAGAGTCAGGCCTGGTGCCACACACCTGTAATCTTAGCACTTGGGAGGTGGAGGCAGGAGGATTAGGAGTTAGGGCCATCCTCAGCTACATGGTAGGTTTGGGGCTAGCCTGGTATACATGAGCCCCTATCTTAAAGGAAGAAAAGAAAAGGGAACAACAGTGATGGTGCCTGCTGTCCTCAGAGCCAGTCTGTGTGGTGGTGGGAAGGTACCACCCCTGCAGGGCCTTCTCCGCAGGCGCTCTGAGGGCTAAGGAGGGAGGCCTGACCACGGCCAGCCCCTGGCTCCTCCCGTAGGAAACGTATCTTCAGTTGGGATGAGGTCCTTAGGAACGTGCATGAGTATGTTTCATCCAAATTCGAATCCCTTCCTTCTCGTTCCTTTCAGAAGGCTTTGCATGTTGGGAGTTTCAAGCCTAAGCAAAAGCAGATGGGACATGAGAGCCTCTGTGTAGTGTCAACACTTACTAATTTGGTGGGTGGGCTGTCCACCCCCCCATCCCCCCGCAGCCCATGTGGAGTTACGGGGAGTCAGGTTCAGGCACAAATTTTTTTCATCTGCAGACATATTGGCATGCACATATTTTAAATTTGTTTTTCTTGTGTGTGATATGCAGTGTGCATGCATGTGTGTATGTATGCATGTTCTCATGTGTGGGTACTTCAGTGTGTGGGTGCATATGGAGGACTGAAGTCGATGGTGGGTGTCGTCTTAAATTCCTCTCTACCTTATTTATTGAGGCAGGGTCTCTCACTGAACCCAGAGGTCAGCAGTTCGGGCTAGCCTAGCCAGCCAGCTTGCCCTGGGGCTTCCTGCCTCTGCTGCCATCTCTGTGCCTCTCCGGCTATTTCCCTGGGTTCTGGGGATCCACACACAGAGGGCTTGCGCAGCCCTCTGCCGACCCTACGGTAATTCTCACTATGGAAAATGGAAGCATAAACAAAGGTGGAGAAGCCGTGATGACCCTGTGTCCCGTCATCAGCTTCGGGCTTACCCGCGCAGGGTCAGTCTCTTCCCTGCTTTCTCTCAGATGACTTGTGACCACGCTGCAGCCTGGACTCCCTTTCTGTAAACAGTCAGTTGACATCTCCAAAGGTGGGCCCAGCTGGTGCCACCATTGCACAGAAAGGTTGGAATGAGTCTCTCTATTGTCAGTTTGTGTCACCAGAGGCTCTGTTTGGCTCTGGAAAGAGATTCCTGTACAAGACTCCTGGTCCAAGCCGAGCACCTCATGTTTTCTTACCGTCTGGGGATCCCTACTGGCCTCCAACAGTGGGACCCAGTCCCCATGGTGGCCTTGCTGTGTTTCCTTGCCCCTAGTGCCAGGTTTCTGGCAGTTCTAGCTTCACAGCAGGAGCCCAGAGCCGCAGTCCCCAAGGTCTTTTGTGAAGCACGCATCTTCAAACGGTACATCGGACAGGAGGGATACCATCTGGGCTGGGGAGCGTGCTGGCTGAAAACTGAATCCAGTTCACTCCCAGCCATCTGGGGCTCAGCGTGTTTTTGGCCTTGAATACTTTTTCATTATTAAAAACGAACCGGCAGCTACACCCGTTGGTTTTCATCTGCTGTTAAATTTCTCATTCTTTAGTTAGCTGGAGCAACGAAAGCCTTTCCATTGAATTTTGTCTTTGGGGATAAACTGAGCTGTGAGGAGCCCAAGAAGGAATGTCCAGCCAGACCAGTTCCTGGTCAGAGTACGGACAGTGTGCTTTTTCAGGTACCACAGACCTGCCTGCCTCCTTGTAAAGCCGTGAGTGTGTGGCAGTGGCCCAGAGTGTTTGCTGACTGACTGCGTGATGGCACACACTCCTTGAGTATGGGAGGGGACCACGATGAGGACTGAGTTGCACACTGACCAGGCCTCCTGCTGTGGGTTCATGTCAGGGTGACTGAGCCTTCCCTAGGCATGTGAGGATAAAGACAGTGCTTTGGGGTAGGGATATCACATGACAAGATAGCCCCCATCCTTAACCTGTAAGAAGTAAAGCTCTGATTTGTTATTTATGTATTGACTATTTTTTTTTGAATGAAACAAGCTAACAAAAATGTGAGTGCCCACCCCATGTGGTGCTGGCCTCTGGCTCAGATAAAGCAGAGGTGTGTCCCTGAATGTTCTCTATAGCATCGCTGTTGTGGACAGGATCTCACTATCCACCCCTGGCTGGGCTGCAACTTGTTGTGTAGACCAGGCTGGCCTTGATTCCACAGAGATCTGCCTGCCTCTGCCTCCCAAGTACTGAGATTAAAGGTGTGCACCATCACACTCATCCAAAACTTTGACTTTTGATTCATCTTTTTAAATACATTTTTCATTTATTTGGTGTTTATACAATATGGAATGATTCTGACTTTGTTTTTGGTTTTTGAAGATTTATTTCATTTTATGGGTATGTGTATGGGCCTGAGTGTATCCATGTGTACAGGTGCCTTTGGAGGCCTGAAGAGGGTATCAGATCCCCTGGAGCTGGCGTTCTGGGCAGCAGTGAGGCACCATGGTGGTGCTAGGAATAGACCCCAGGTCCTCTTAACCCCTGAGCTGCCTTGCCTCTCCAGCCCCTTGACAGGTGTTGGGGGGGGGTTCTTCTTGTCACTTCTTTGGTTTAGTTGTGTGTGGGCGGCTCTTCAGTGTGGTTTGGTTTGGTTCAGGGCCTGAGGGCTCAGCCTCTGGCTTCTCAGTGCAGCATGTGGCTTGGTGTCTGTCTCAGGTGATGGTGACCCCTGCTCACAGGCAGGCTGTGAGCCCAGCAGCCACACCTCACCTGCAGCTCCTTCCTGCCCTGTTGTCATTTTCACTGCAGAAGAGGGGAGCGGCCTCTGCCCCCGCCAGGTGAAGCCTAGAGGTGCCGGCCCTCTGCGTCCCCTTGTTCACTCTGCTCTGATGGCTCTGAGTCTACATAAACACGGAGCCTGTGCCCCCCCCCCCCCGGCCCGTGCTTCCTTTAGAGGTGCACGGAGCCTGTGCTCCCCCCGCCCATGCTTCCTTTAGAGGTGAGGTTTGTAGCCAGGGACTGTCAGGCTGAGGTGCTTGCGATGGACCTGCTTTTTCAAAGCCTGCTTGTTTTTCTGTGTGGGGACTGCTGAAGGTTTCTCTCCTCTGCTGACTCCAGGACCTCACACTGCTTCAGGGACTCACCTGGATGGAATTCCTGTTCTGTCGCTCACTTAGCAGCTGCTGGGATACAGCTCCATTGAGTGCCTTTGTGATCACCTTCCTGCTTCCCCTGAGAGCATCTGCTCTTTTTAGAACCAGGGAAAGCCAGGGATCCTGGACCTTGGAACCAGTCGGGTGACTGAGAGCCCATGGCTTTGCCTGTTGCATGTGCGAACACACTGTGTACTAAGCGTCTTAAATTCTGGGGTTACTAGGCATGGACTCCACCCAGCTCAGCTTAAGCACCCAAAAGGGGCTCTTGTGGCTCTGAGCCCAAGCAACTGAGGAGCAGGCTGGTCTCTGGAGATCGCAGATGGTGGGTTATTTTTATTCTTAGAGTAGAATCCCCCTGCAGCCTGCACACAGCTGCATGAGGTTGTTTTTAATGTATTCTGATGCAGAGCTTCTCCACTGTCTCTGGAAGTCCCTTCCTGGCCCCTCCCCAGTTCCCACTCCCTTCAGCAATGACTGCTTCCATGTCTCAGCTCTCACTAGTTTCTTGTGGCTGCTGTGGCAAATGCTCCAGGCTTGGTGGCTTCTCATAGGTTTGCAGGCTAGAAGCCTGTGCCCGGGCTAAAGTTAGGATGACGGTAGGCCTGCGCGTCCTGCAAAGGCTCTGTCTGGGCACGGGCTCTGTCTGGGCACGGGCTCTGTCTGGGCAGGGGCTCTGTCTGGGCACGGGCTCTGTCTGGGCGCGGGCTCTGTCCGGGTGCGGGCTCTGTCTGGGCACGGTCCTTTC